CATCCCCCACACCCCTCCACGCAGCACCCCCCACGTCCCCCATGACCCCCCACGCCACAGCACCAACGCCGGTCCCTCAACGCTGCGCCCCAGCCCTGCGCCCAGCAGGACAGAATGCGGCAGTGGCAGGGGACACGCTATATCCGTTCCGGTCGCACACCACCCCCCTCCAGGAGACCCGAGGCAGCTTGGCAGAGATGCGCTCAGCGCGGCACAGCAGGGAACACGGCTTGAGCGCAGGGCTGCGGTCACGCAGAGCCCGCCAGCCTGGTGGCGTTTGGCCCGCGGGCGGGGGCTACAGAATTGAGGTGTCAGTGCCCTGGCTCTGGCCCGCCAGCCAGCGGGACATCTAGGAGACAAGCAGGGGCCTGGCCCTTCCCAGAGCCCCAGCTCCTGCCAGGCCCTGGGGGACCTCACCTCCAACACGGGGTCCCTTCTATCCGCACAGCAAAGGAATCCTGGCCGGGCAGGAGACAGCCACCTGAGCCCCACTCCCCAGGCCCGTGAGAACCAGCCAGGACAGTCTGCACCTGCCCGTGTCACTTCCCTGCTGGGACGGCCTAGTGACATAGACTGCCCCACCCACCTGGTGACGTGTCAGCAGCGGGCGTGTGAGGGTCACTGACCTGGGCACAACCCCAGGGCAAACTTCAGCTCAGGCGCTGGCCTCGCAGATAACAGGCCTACTGTGCGCCAGGCACCGCAGTGGCACCGGAGCCCACGGGGACCCCCTCCCTTGGTGTGAACACAGTGTGATTGTGATGATGACACTGGACATACATGTAAACACAATGACCAATGAGACAGACACATCTGCTGAGTCACGACAGAAAGATGGTCACAGGTGCAGGGTCTAGGGGCCGGGTTGCTGCGGGTCTCCCAAAGCCAGCAGCTAGCCCTCCGTGACACACCAGTGCTGCCACACGGGAGCTACACCCAGTGTCACCAGACCGCTGGACTTTCAAGCCAGTCAGAGTCAAGGTCGTCCTGGGAGAGGGTCTGGCTTCTAAAGATAGCATCTAGTTTAAAGATTTCTAAAACTGACGTGCGGCAGTTTGCGACTTCCAGTACAGACCATAAGTGCTAGGACAGTTCAGGACACAGAGCGGTCACTGTCGCTGCAGCTGTCAGAATGTGTGTCTCAGAGGGGAGCTCATGGGGGCCTCAGAAGGTGGACGAGAAA